TTCATAATTTTTTGAAATTTAGAAGGAGCATTTTTAGACCAAATGGCATAACATTCCATTCGTATTATCCGAAAGGAACATTAAAAGCTGTTTTGTATTTGTCTTCTTCTTTAATTTGAATTTGTCAGAATCCTAACTTTAAATCAAATTTAGAGAAGATGATAGCTTTGAATAATTTATTTAATAGATATTTCTTTTGAGGTATTGAATAACGAATCCATTGAAGATCAGTTTTGAGGGGTTTGTAATTGATAACGAGTCGAGGAACTCCTCGTTCGATTTCAGCTGAATTATTGACATAAAAAGCTGAATAGCTCCAAGACGATTTGCTTGGTCTAATGAGCTTTTTATCAAGGAGATCTTGTATTTCATTCATACAATGATCAAGAAGATCTTTGTTCATGTGAATAGGATGAGATTTTGTAGTAATATTGGATTCTTGAAATTCTGGAATGTATGGAAGGGAAACAATGTCTTTTTCTATCCCAAAATGCATTTGATATAGTAGAACACATATATATATTTTTTTCAATTTGTTCTTGAAAATTTGAGATTTTTTGAATAATTGAAGAATCTTGTAATCTCTCCCCAATTTTTTGAAATCGAATTTCTTCTTGAAGAAATTGGATATGATTTTTCTTAAAATTAATATTATTAATAAGTTTTGAAATCGAAGCATTTTTTAAAGTATTGATATCTTTAAAGGAAGGTGGATTAGAAAATTTAAAAGTAATTTTCTTTTCAAAAATGTTTGTAGTTGACCCTTTCGTATCTGCTGTGAAAGGATAAATTTGAACTAGAAATGATGTTCCAAGAATAATTTCTTGATCAAGATCTTTGACTAAATAAAATATATTTTTGAAACAAATATGTGAATGACAAACATGAGCTTTTGAAAGTTTGTATTGAATATATATATATATATGACCGCCTAGACAATATTTTCGGGGTAAAATTGGCACTTCTTTGTTGAATTCATGCCACGTCTCGATCTTTTTGGATTTTGATTCACATTGTTGTACTCTCGTATGCCCTTTAATAAGTTTTCAACTGGTTTCAGTTTTAATGTGATAAGAAGTATGAAATGGATTTAAGATTTGGATTTCGAATTATTTTTGTTGTTCAAATTTGAATTTTGTATATTAGGTATGAGGACTTTCTTCTATTACAATTATTTATGTGATTTGAAACTGAATTTTGAAGGAACTGGGTATTTGTTTCTGCAGGAGAGCAATTGCAGATTCATATAACAGTCTTCTACATTGAGGTAGTAACCATAAGTTATTTGATGAATATGTGCTTCATTTTCAATTATTTGCTGCTCAGGTTCTACCTGCATTTTCTGGAAAATTTACTTTGATATCGATTTTCTGTAGTAATACAGTAGTTGAGTTTTTACAAAAATGTGATGGTAATAATTGTAGGAATTCTGTGATAGTCAATTATGAAAGTTCGTCGCTTGCTTCGTTACTGGATTGTGGTATTCTGCTGCAAAGTGAGGTTAATTTTGCCTAATATGTCAAATAACTCATAGAAATCCTTTTTTTGGAGAAAACATGTACTTTTTTTATATACACAATACAAACGATATTGGTAATACCTGCAAATTTGTTTACTTGTCTAATACAATGCGCGTAACCACATATTTGTGTGTGTGTGTGTGTGTGCGTCTATATATAGTTTCGTTCATTGTGAAATTATGCAAGTCATCTTTCTTCTCATGTTTGTCTTAACTTTGAAACACAAACAAAAATTATTACTAGTATGGAATATAAAAACTGCATTTCCTAAAATGTTTTCTGGAGAAGTATTTTGCACTTTCAACTGGAAAACTGTAGTAGTAACATTAGGTTTATTGATAGCATCAGATGTTTATCATCACTAGTCACATCAGAAGTCACGTTGTAAAATTAAATCTTGATCATCACTAGTCATGGATAATCATGGTGGCAAATTGGATTTTCTGGTGATTGGGAATGAAATTTAGTGTCTGATGGTTGAATTTGAGATGTAAATTTTCATTTTACTTTGAATGCAGCAACTTTGAAGTTCAATTTGTTTGGTGATATTAACTGTTGGTAGATTTTCATTTTACTTTAAATAAAGCAATTTTCTGATTTTTTGTTCAATATTTATTCATTTTTGGAGTTTTTTGAGGTATTTATATATTTCCACCGCCATCTCAACCTTGATCCATCAGGGTGAAGGTCTCTAATGCTAACACTAGAACTCCGTTTACACGATCTGATCGTCGAAAAAGTAAGAGGAATGAATAGTTACTTCACAATGTTGGAGTAGCATGGTATTGTATTTGGAAAAATTATTGATATTTGTCATTTTGTTTACCATCATTAAGCAGATATTTTGGTTGATGATATAGTTATTAGTGTTGATGTATAATTGAAATGGAGAAAATTGGGCATTTTGTCATTCAGTTACATACACGCTGTTCTGGTCTCACATTATATGTACATTTACGAACTATCGTTCCTGACAGTTGAAATATCAAGTGTTAAGATTAGCAGGTATCTAATGTTGAGAATGGCAGATAAAATATCGAGAAATTGTATGAAATGTCAAGAATTCTCCCGTTTCGGATGAAATGTCGTTCTAGACAAATGTAATGTCAAGTGTCGAGATAATTCGAATACAAATTCGATAAAACTTTTCAAATGTCGAGAAATGCATGAAATGTCGAGAAAAATGAATTGAAAAATACGTATAGTTCAACCATACAACAATTCAATGGGCTTTAATATGAAATTACTAGCGTTAACTACTTATTCCATCCATTGTGTCTTCAACAATCCAAGAAACTCCTCGTATCACAAGTACAAAGTCTACACCCAATGATGTGAAAGATGTGTCAATTAAATGTAAATAGAAATTAGTGAAAGTTGGTGTGATTCATATTTGATGCACTGAATTACATTACTCATCCATTATAACACATTGACATTGGCTTGAATATGAAATTACAAGCATTAACTAGGTTTTCCTTCCATTGATTTTGTCTTCATCCACCCAAGAAACTCCTCATATCACAAGTACAATGTCTACACCCAATGATGTGAAAGAAGTGTCAATCAAATATAGATGGAAATCAGTGAGAGTTGGTGTGATTGGTCATTGGCTTGAATATGATTCCATTGACCATGCCTTCATCCACCCAATAAACTCTTCATCTCGATGTTGCTACTAACTTCTCCCCACCCGGGTCATCCGTGGACAACCCAATCATCATCGACTCGGAAGATGATGAAGATGTCAAGGTTTTTGTTCCATATGTTCCTCAACCGAAAACCGTCATCCCATTCTGTTTCAGGATCTAAACGAAGAAATTGAGTCATTTGAAGTTAGAGTGGGTAATCGTATTATTGAGTGTGAGATCGTCCCAGTAGAAGTCCCACCGGAAGCACACCATGTATTGTTTGATGAAAATGTCGCAGCGATTCTTGCAAGAAATGAAGAAGTGATCATCATAAACTTAGACGACGAAGATGATAGTGAGATGTCCTCTTTGTCCGTTGTGGAGGATATGTAGAAGATGTAATCGTCGTATGTGTAATGTTGAAGTATATCTAGTGACATAAAAATCCATATAGGTAATGGGTATGTTTTGTGGTGATCACCATTTTGTGTATGTAGTGACCTACAACATGCAGACATGTTATGACTTGTTTTTGTTGTGATTATCATTTTGTATCGTCTAGTGACTTATGGAAACGAGTAATTCATGGCTTCTTTTGTACGCATTACCAAATTGTGTATACAACGATGAAGAAAATTCTAGTCATGAAGTAATAAAAGGAAACCTAACCGATTAATACACTAAGAACATTACGATTGGAAACAATTCCCTAAGTTTGTTTAGTGTTTAATGCATTCTCGACATTTGAAAATTCGAGAATTACATTTAAACTATCATTCTCGACGTTTATAAAAGTCAAGAATGACATGGCGGGGATTCATTTTAACATATACATTTATCATCTTCTTCAACTTCAATCAACATTTTTGAAAAGAAGTAATTCCACCATTAATGACATTCTCAATACAACAGTACCTGAAATTATTATTAACCTAAGTGATTGAAGAATGGTGTTACAACAAATATCTACAACTTGTTTGGATAATCAAATTCAATGAAATCAAATATATAACAACTACTAAACCTTAAACTTATCAATAAAAATAAGATTTCAAAGGAAAATATCTTCTACCAAGAAATAATAAGAGCCGAATCAAATTCAAATTTGGACGAGATTAAATTTGTTGACCTGAAATCAAATTAAGCCTTCAAAATTGGAATCATATATTTCTTTGTTTATTCAATTTTCCTACAATAATTGATTAATATCTAATTAAAAAGGATTTATCTACTTGTACATTACCGTGTACATAATGTGAGTGTGGTGGAGCCCACGACACTGTAGCGTAGGCCCCACCTCCACTCACATTATGTACACGCTTATGTACATGCTAATGTACAAGTAGCATTGTCCAATTAAAAATGTAAGCAAATGAACTTACCTTGGTAACGGCTACAAGTATGGTGGTTTGCCCACATGGCACATCTCCAAGTGGTAAAAGAGAAATGTGGAAAACTCTAGCTTTGCTTGAGGTTGCCGTGTCAAGGATTCAAATTCTGAAATATGGATTTGGCCATTGAGTAAGTACAAATGTACAAACAGTCTTCCACCCTATACCCTTGGAGGCATAATCTGCAAAATTTACCTTTTTCACTAAGGCCCCGGGTAGGGCAGCTGGGGGCCATCAAGGATTTGGCTCATCCTTTTTACAAGTACGATGACTTTTCATGGAAGCCACTTGCTCTTCTTGATATATGTGTCAAATAAAAAAAAAAACAAATTAAATAATCATTTCATTAAGGACAAAATAGATAATTTGGTATCAAATTTGATCATTTTTGCAAGAATTACGAGAAAAGGACATTTTTCGATTCACACCCATAAAATTGAGGAGAAAAGGGAACAAAAATGGGGACTTCCGCTTGGCTGTTCTCTCACCTCAGCTTTCGGCTTCAATTAATCCACTCGATGCCGTTTCTTGGGGGATTTCCAACCTTCGAGCTGCTCCGCTGTCGTGGCTCCACCGTCGAATCTGAAAGGTTCGTTGACTATAATAGATGAGCGTCCCGGTAAACGGTACCAGGTTCTGGTCTCTGAAGGCACCGTCAAAGCCACCGACTTGAAAAAGGTAATTGATATTTGAAAATTGAAATCTTTATTAATATTAGTGATGTTGTTTGAATTATAGCTGGGATTATTCTTTCATTTACTGTAATTTTTATAGATTCGTTTCGTCGAGTTCATTGACAAATTTATTTGAATCTTGCTCTGATTTTCTTTATCGTTTTCTCGTCTAAATGAGGGGTTCTGAAAGAAACAATCTTTACTTAATGAAGCTTAGATGAGGTGTTTATACATGGAAGTGAGGAATGCCGAATGCGTAAGTGTGGTTTTTGATATCCTACAATGATTGCTTGCCCTTGGAAAAGTAATTATAAAGTTTTGGGACTTGTACTCATGCGTAGAATCTTGCAATGGACAAACGATTCAACGAAGTACTTTTTATTGGTGAATCTGCATGCTGTTTTTGAAGATTTTGATATAAGAGAGTACTGCGGATAACAACAGGTAAGAATGACAAGGGGCTTAAGCTTTACGATCCGGGTATCTTAATAAGGCTCCTGTACAATCGTCAATTTGATCGATGGTGATGAAGAAATTCTTAGATATAGGGGTTACCCGATTGAGGAGCCGGCTGAGGGAAGTTCCTTCTTGGAAGTGTCATAAATTTTGAGTAAGTGTTACTACTATATTCCATGTGTGCTTGCATCTTGAGTATCTAAATTTTATGCTGGTATATTGCACCAGTTTCAGTTCTTATCCTGTTTAATCAATATTATGATGCACCATTTGAAATCTGTTCACATTGTGTTTAACTGCTTCGATTTCTATCTGCCTCTTTTGAGCTTTGTTTGATTATTTCTTGAGGCATCTCTGCCAAGCTTAGTCCTCATTTTTTTTTTGGAGAAATTATGGATCTATATTGTTATTTCTAGTTTCTCTTCATTGGCATTGGAATTTATTTGCACGTCATAGTTATGTATGTTTAAAATACAAATGTTGATGGATATGAGGATTTAGTAATTGAATGGTACTCAGCTTTTGCTTGCTTCATATGGTTGGCATATGCATCAATTCAGTTTAGTGACTTGATTGTTCTTGTTTTGCACATTATAATGTTGAGCCATTTTCCCCTTTTGATGTCAGTGTATGGAAACTCACCATCCGAAAATCAGTTGGCAGACTGGGATTTCGCTATTTTATAGCATTCAGCTGTACCACAAGGAATATTGGTATGCTTCTTAAATGCCTGCATAATCTTTTGAGTACTAGTCAAATGCCTGTGCAATGCACGGGCTGTGTTCTTTTTGAGGCAATATTAGTGTGTCGACCATTCAGGATTGATGGCAGATATGTGCGGTGGTTTAGATTGGCAAAATGCATGGGTTGAATTATGATAAAGGACTAAACATTTAAATCTTCTAAGTACAGATAATGCTTTCAATTATTTGTTCAAGTTCGAGGGGTCCAGTCTTGTCATTTCTTATTTAGCTATATAGTAGCCCTTTCCAGTTGGTTAAAATAAATGACTATATGCTGGATATGTTTCAACGACTTGTATATCCTAGGTCCTCAACCTTCACTTGTTCAAAATTGAATCTAACCCACCTTGTCAATTGAGCATCAAATGATTGATGTAAGAAAAAAGAATACAATAGATGCATAATACAATTAGGCAGTATTGCTAGCTTATACATCTAGATTATAACCATTCCTGTTCACCTTAATTGTCCCATAGCTTCTTCCATGGAAGAATTACTGAGAACCTTGAGAAGTACTCAAAATGAAAAAAAATTTATCTTCACAGAAAATTTCATCATGCCCATTCATCAGATTTTGCAGGACTTGTACACCACCATGGAAAATAAAAGCACGCCGTAAATCGAGTATAAGTAATCTGATGAATGCATACAATCCAAGAATAATCTCTATAATAGCAACTGAACCATCAACAGAATCTTTCCCCCAACAAAACCCCATCTTTTTCGTCATCATTAATCCATTTTTCAACACCACTATTATTCTCTATTTTGCAAGACTTGTACATCGCCATGGAAAATAAAAGCACGCCGTAAATCGAGTATAAGTAATCTGATGAATGCATACAATCCAAGAATAATCTTTATTTAAAAACTGGCCGTCATAGATACAAACTCTGTTTCTTTATCATTATTCTAACTAAATACAATCTAACTGCTCAAATTAATTCAAAAATCTTTGGCATATGAAATACAATCACCCGACAAACAAAGCAATCAAGTTTCTATGCACATTACCTTCGCTGCAGATACAGCTGCTTGACCCAAGTGGGATTGGAAGTCATTGTTGATGTTTGGCTGCATGTGTAGAATTTCTGTCAGAATTTTATAGCAATCAGTAATGGAGAATCACAGTTCAACTAAAAGGAAGCAAAGAAAAACCAAAATAAAAGGAAAATTACAGCGGGAGCTTCTTCAATTATCTTCTGATATCTTCTCCGGACACTGGAATCTCTCTCGTTAAGATGTATTACATTACCAAGTTTGTCCCCAAAGATCTACAAATTGTAGTTCAGATAAACACAAGTTCAGAGTCACATGTTCCGAATTGCTTTAATTATGATCTTGTTGTAGGTGAATTTTGAGGGCATGAAGTAGAAGAAATTTATGAATTATATTTAGATCCTGTTTGAGCCCTATTTTTCAAAAATCTATTTTTCTCCAATCTCATTTTAAACCACACATTCTCCAATAAAATAATTTCAAAGGGTGAAAATGGCTATAGACGCGTTTGTAAGATAACTATGAATGAATGGCCTAGCGCATATGGTTAAATTCAATTCCCCCTGCAGTTCCCACTTAAACGATGAGGCAAATCCATTATAATATTAATTATAATTTGAGCCTTGTAACATATAATAATACAAATGACATTAAACAAAGATGTCCCAGTGTAACGTTCAAATATCACAGAATAGAAATTCAGTTTCATTTATTTTGAACCAAGATGAAATAAATAAATAAAGTATTTAACCGATATTCGATTTTAGTGAATAACCCAGGGGAAGAATACTCCCAGAAAAATGAACGGAATATAAACTCAGAAGGGAGAATAAAAAAAGGCAATAAAATACCTAAACATTTGGGGGAAAATCTTTCATGTTCAAAAAGAGAGTTGATTTGTTTGAAATGAACATCGTTTTACAACAATTTTTTTCTGCTCTATCACACCCATGATGTTTTGTCCATCGATCAATAAGACGTCAACAGAACTCTCATGTGAAGACAAGTATCATAGTTGGTAAAATCGGTTGCTNTTTGATAATAATACCTTCGAGAAATGAATGGAAGACAGAAGAACATACCATTTAAGAGAACTCGGCTCGACCCACAACAATCAACATCATCACGGCTCCACCCAGCTCCAGCGACCATGGAATGATCCCGAAACCCAAGCTACCAAGTACCACCTACCGCTGGTCTCGTCAAACCCTAATCCATCGCCACTTGCATCCTGACGGGTCCAACACAATCGTCAAAGGCAGCCATTCCATCCTCTCTAAAACGAACACAGGAAAACTTAACCCAAGCATTAACCCATCACCAACTGTTTTCAGTTCCAGCACTACAGCACAAAAATAGAAATCTACACAAAATGAAGAAATTGAAGGTATGATAATTAGACTTACCAATATGTCTCAATTTGTTCAAGTTATATTTCGAATTCATTTCAAGATTGAGAGAGAAGAAAGAAATTTCGAGAGAGAATTTATGAATCAAAGCTTTGGTAACACACTGTTTTTGCAGGAGAGATATTTAGCCTACACACGACAAGACCATTAGACCCTTGCAAGAACTACGTTGCCACTGGAATTTTGAGGGTAAAATGGGAAACGTACAAATACTTCACAATGAACAGTAGACGCCCCCATCCCCTCTTTTATAGGAGTAGTGACAAGATTAAACCTGACTATGTCAAGTCTTTCCTTCATGGAAGCAAGTTGATGACATCAATTTGGATTGTTATTCGCATTGATGGTTGCCATTTTCATAGGTAAATCACTTTAAGCGTTAAAATAAATAACGAATATTCAGTGAATCTATTAACTTACCTCATACATGATACAACTCATGCAAAACATTTTTTTCAGCAAGAGAAAAGAGAAAGAGACCACCAATAAAGAAACAGATCTAGATGTACCTCCAACAGCTTCCATCTCCCTAAAAATTGCTTATATCTAAATACACAAAGAATAAGTAGACACAATACGAGAGCATAGATTGATCTCAAGCTTCCCAGAAAATTAAAGAACAAGTCAAGTGATGAGGCAGGAACCAATACCCAAATGCTAATCCAAAATTAAGGAAAGAAGAAACAAAAATGAAAAAGCTTAGTCACCGTTTTAGGCTGAGATTAGCAAACGTTTCTTGGCTGCAGAAAGACAAGCTCATGAGGTTTCATTCCTTCCTTTAGAGAGAATCTTGCACCCAAATAGAACTTCCATTCTGGAACACACTCGATAGCTTTTAATAAATCTGAATCAACAGCTTTCTGGTCATCTTTCTTCTTTGTTGGGAGCACATTCTTCTCCTACATTATAGAGAATGTCAAACCAACGAATAAAAAGAACCACAAAAAATAACAGGATAATTATTTTTCTAAGGCAAACCTCTTTTTCTGCCTCAAAGAATTCAGACTCGCCCTAAAACCTTCAAACTTCACCTCAAAAAATCAATAATTAATTA